CCAAATGGACAAGATATTGGGTTGGCCTCCAGGAGCAGCTGATGAGTATGACGAGCTGACTCCTGTTGTGAAAGAGCTAATGGTAGCCAGTCATCCATATAATGATGAAAGCACATACTGAGAGCATGTAAGTGAGGAGCAAATGCTCTGACCACCCGACAAAAAACATACAAGGCCACAGCCACCCTGAAGGGCAGTGTGTGAAACTGCTAAACCACACTGTGGTAATCAAACTGACGATAGAGTCACAACTGATGAGATATTGGGATATGCAAATAAGCATTCACAATGTCCATCTTAGTCATCCACAAACCTGGAGAAAAAGCCCACCTGAAGGTGAGAAAGGACTCCATGGTAAAACATAGCAGAATGAGAAATTGATTGAGGCTAGACAAATCTATTACAGGCCACCAGTCTCCAGTTTTCTTGGGGACAACAAACAGCCTGAAATAAAAGCCTGGAGAATGATGATGAACAGGTTCGATGACCTGTTGAGACAGATGGTCTTGTACTGCCCCAGACAGAAGGTCTTGTACTGCCCCAGACAGATGCAGGCTGGTGTAGGATCCAGAGGCATGGGGAAGTAAATGGGTATCTCATACAAAAGAGGGGGGGGGGAGAAATGGTAGGACAAGTCCCTCTGATAAAACCCAAAGAACCCACAGATCTGTGATGAAAGATTGCCAAAGGGGAACAAACTCGTACAATTGAGCTCCCATCAGACCGGAACCCACTGGGTAGTCAACGGTACTGTTGGCAATATGCCCATCTACATCAAATAAAATGACAAGATGATAAATCCCTGGAAGGAGGTACAGGTAAAGTCTGAGAAGGACTAGGACAGTACACAGGAATAGGGGGTTGGCTTGCTTCCGACTGCGACAAATATGTTACCAAAGAGGAAAGGGGTAGAATGTTGACACTCTAAGTACTATAGAAGGGAAGTAAGGGTAAGATAAAGGCATGAAGCCTGGGCATGGGTTAAATGCATAGGAAAATCAGGGACTGTTCTCCACACAGGAAAAATTGACTCCAATTGTTGAGAGTCGAGAAATGGATAGTTAGCCTGATGGTAAGATAATGCAATCTGACCCATAGCCCATTGAGGGCGAGACATCCTGGCACTCTCAACCAATTGTGAAGAAAATTGCTCAGCATGAACCCTAATATCTGGGTAAGGTGAGAAAAATAAATGTGGAGAGGAAGAAGTATCACGCAACAAAAAAGGACAGGGATCATAGGAAATTGGGGAAATGGATAAAACATCACATATCTGAGAAATCATGTCTAAAAATACTGTATTAAGCCTAGCTGATTCTGCAGGTGGGGCACAGGAAGACACAGCAAAATACAGTGGTGAACAAAGGCTATCAAAATCTTCATCGGCCCAAACAGGGTCAGCTTGCTCAGGAGGAAGTGGGGCAAGTTCAAGAAAAGGAGGTTGACCCATATAACGATCAATCTCATGGTGGATAATCACAGATAAATCCAATGATGGGTCTCCCCCACCTGCAGCCTGTGAAATAGTGTTAGTAGGAGGTATGATCCCCAAAGTAGTACATGAACCTCAGAATTCACTGTAGAAATATATATAAAACAAAAGTGTTTAAAAGTTAAATTGATTTTTTAACTCAGTGTACAACTTCAGTCCACACGTATCTTTTATTTAATCCAGATACAAAACCAAAATAAAATGTTATGCCACTCAATGACTATGCTTTTAAGTTTTCCATATATATATATATATATATTAAATAGCCATAGTGCCATTGCTATGTATTAACTTACTAGAACTTATAATGTACTATTATTTGGTATACATACCAGTATTGTTAAATGATGAATAGCTAATAGAACACATTTTACAACATTCTTCATAATCATGTCCAATGAACAGCTTATAGAACACACTTTATAATATCCTTCGTAATCATGTCCAATGAATAGGTATTAAAACACATTTTATAACATCCTTCATAATCATGTCCAATGAATAGCTAATAGAACACATTTTACAACATCCTTCATAATCATGTCCAATGAATAGGTATTAAAACACATTTTATAACATCCTTCATAGTCATGTCCAATGAATAGCTTATAGAACACACTTTATAACATCCTTCATACTCATGTCCAACAAATAGCTTATAGAACACATTTTATAACATCCTTCATAATCATGTCCAATGAATAGCTAATAGAACACATTTTACAACATCCTTCATAATCATGTCCAATGAATAGCTAATAGAACACATTTTAAAACATCCTTCATAATCATGTCCAATGAATAGGTATTAAAACACATTTTATAACATCCTTCATAATCATGTCCAATAAATAGCTTATAGAACACATTTTAAAACATCCTTCTTAATCAGGTCCAACAAAAAGCTTATAGAACACACTTTACAACATCCTTCATACTCATGTCCAATGAACAGCTTATAGAACACACTTTACAACATCCTTCATAATCATGTCCAATGAATAGCTAATAGAACACATTTTACAACATCCTTCATAATCATGTCCAATGAATAGGTATTAAAACACATTTTATAACATCCTTCATAATCATGTCCAATGAATAGCTAATAGAACACACTTTATAACATCCTTCATAATCATGTCCAATGAATAGCTAATAGAACACATTTTACAACATCCTTCATAATCATGTCCAATGAATAGGTATTAAAACACATTTTACAACATCCTTCATAATCATGTCCAATGAATAGCTTATAGAACACACTTTATAATATCCTTCATAATCATGTCCAATGAATAGCTTATAGAACACATTTTACAACATCCTTCATAATCATGTCCAATGAATAGGTATTAAAACACATTTTATAACATCCTTCATAATCATGTCCAATAAATAGCTTATAGAACACATTTTATAACATCCTTCATAATCATGTCCAATGAATAGCTAATAGAACACATTTTACAACATCCTTCATAATCATGTCCAATGAATAGGTAATAGAACACAT